TCCCAGCCAAAATCTTATGGATATATTTGCGGAAGAATAAAGATTCCTTATTCTTCCGTATAATGTAGACAAGAATGAGAAATACTTAGCAGTTATGAGAGGGTATTTTTCACCCCCACTGAGTTAATGAATTCCGCGAGAAATGTTCAAAAACTGCCCCGTCTGTCCATAACAGAAGACGGTTGATATGTTGACCGCCTGTAGCAAAATCTCATGTCTTGGTTTTGCTATTTATTTTTATTGTTATTAGATATAGTTTAAATGTGTTGATGTTGGTTAAATATATTTTAAATTGTTATAAAATTCTGCATCTCTCATAGCAAATATTATTTTCGTTTTAATTGATGCTCACAGCTAGAATTTTTTTGCATTAGAGCCGGTGCCGTTCAAAGCCTACTTATTTAAAGCGGGCGAATTTTTGTATAGTCTATATCTCGAAGAGAAATCGAGCAAAATATCAAGTGTGTTATATTTTTGGAAAGGTAATTTTAATAAATTAAAAATATACAGGGTGTCCCATATAAAAAATCAAATTTTCTGTTGATAATTCTTAAATTATTAACTTTAAAAAAATTATACTTAAACCATTAAATTCTACGTAAAAAGGTCCTTTGGAAATGTTTTCATAAAAATACAACATTTTCCATAGCAAAAAAGTTACAGCGATTTGTTAAAAATGCATATTTTTGAAAAACACTCCGTAACTCCGAAACGGTAACAGATATCGATATGCGGTTTTCACCATCATGTTTTTGACAAAAATTGAGCTACAGACACCGATATTAGTTTTTGTTTATCTCCTATAGAAAAGGGTGTTTCCATTTAAAAGCGTCTAATTTGACCCACCCTGTACAGGGCTTTAAGCAGAACTACCTACAATACACGGTTACACGATCAAATATATGTTTCCAAAGTTATTTGATTACAAATTAATTGTTTTAACTCAGTCTTGGGACTCTAGAGTGAAATTTAAAATGCTATTTTTATTTAATTGGAATTGTCTAAAATTGACGTATGGTATGTCATTCTATTCAGAATGTCATTTTCTATCAAATAATGTAAAAAAGTACTTAGGATACAATCTAAAAATACAAAGTTGTAGTCATTTCCGGTGAAACAGGAAGCGACCGAAGGTAATTGAATACGTCAATCAATCCCGATTTATGTCATATACTAACAAACCAAATTTCGTTGTATTATCTGAAAAAATAAACAAGTAAAAAAGTGAGCCCCTTTTGAGAAACACCTGGTAGAATCGGCTGAAAATGAATACAGGTCTTAAAAATACACTATAACGAATAATCTACCAAAAGACCCCTGTAACCCGGGCACTCGAAAATACAGCGGCTACCTAAACGCATCCTAGATCTATAGAGCAAACTGGTTGTCGCATTCTTCCCCGCACCTCAGACCTCGGTACCGATGCGATGGGCTGTGCCGTCGTTTACGACCTGCTGCTACGAGTATATAGTGTGAATTATATATGTTCGCGAACGTTTTGTTCGAGTAGCTTGGACGCGGCTTAACGATGCCATTCTGCGGAAACTGTGATACTTGATAATATTTGACATTAGTTTTGAAGTTAGCATTTATAGATGTATAAAATGAGATTATATCAAATCTGGAAATTACAAAATTTTCGTTTAACATTACAAAATCAAAATTCATAATTCGGAAATTGCTGAATTTAGGTACATTATGTGTATTACGATTATGTTTTGATTTTGAAATGTTAATTTTTTTTTAATTTCCAGACTTGATATTATAGTCTCTTTTAAACATCTATAAATGCTAACTTGAAAACTAATGTCAAATATTATCAAGTATCACAGTTTCCGCAGAATGGCATCGTTAAATGAAACCGAACACATCGAAATTAATTAAATCGAATTGTTTTAGTGATATTTTCAAAAGTCAATAACTCGGAAACGGTTAGTTTGAGATACTTTGTGTGTATCTCGATTTTTGCTTAGAATTGAAGGAAGAACCGAAATATGCAATAACATACAGGGGGTTCCATTTTAAAAAAAATGAAAATTTGATGTGCCACGGCTTTATGACCCACCCTGTATACTTGAATTTACTACCCGCTAATAGATATTTATAAACTCTATAACTTTTATATTTAACTTTTTGCGGCACCTCATATATTTTACCTAATAATCGACCGTTCCCATACATATCAGCGACCCTGTATCAACAATACAGGGCAACGGCCCAGCTACGTCAAAACACCGGTTCCCATTAGAACACCGAAGTTAAGCGACGTAAGGCGATACTAGTGGATGGACGAGTGATCGGTTCGAAACTCTATATCGTGCTGTTGTCACAAGAATAGATTGCTGTTGTCCAAAAAAGGCAAAAGTGTAAAATCTATTGACACACACTGCTCATTCACGCCGGTTCGAGGCCTGATGAGATCGGATATCTCGTGAGTAAGAGTCAATTTAGACACTTGCCAAGTCGGTAGGCCATTGACCATGATATGGCCGAGGACCGCGGTTTGGATTCCGCGTAAACAAAGTAGGCCGCGTCCAGATTAGCCCTGGCAGCAAAAAGGAGACGTTAACTTCAAACCTTTACTTTTGTATTTACAATACAGTATGATCGAGAAAAAAACGGCGTCAAAGACGGCTGGGAAATTACTGATTGGTGATAATTTTGGCGAGGTCATAACGTCATTTACTAAGAATTGTCATAAAACTTTGTTAAAAATTAACACTATAGTTATATAAATATTAAAAAAGAATCGAACGTTTCCAGACACATATATTTTCCAGAATTTTTTTTCTCGAATTTTAAACTACACTATTTGAAAATAGTTTTTGCTCAAATAAAAATAAATGACAACCTTCTTAAGGCCAACTGTCAACCTGTGTTGTTAAGGCCAACTGTCATAAAAATTGTCAGTCAAAAAAAAGGGCTGTAAACTATCTGTTAAGGCTAACTGTCAGGCCAACTGTCAAAAAATAAGAAGAAGTCATTAAATAGAAGAGTACACGTACTCCTCTTTATTTAATGGTGAAGTAAAGACCAAGTAAATGACGTCTAGGGCTTGGCCTGGCCAAAATTATCATCGATTGTTATTTCCCAGCCGTCTTTGACGCCGTTTTTTTTTTGATCGTATGGCATAACCAAATTATAAAAGTAATTACATGGAGTAAAAGGGGGATGAGAATTTAACCTGCTGTCCTTTTTTGTTTTGAAAGTTTTTTTTTACATTTTGATACAGGTAAAAAATGTATAAAAAAATAAAAGTGGTAGAATGGCATTTCTCTTCATTCTCTTTGGAAATTTGACCCCGCATTTTTCTATCACCCTGTATATTAGAACTACATCTATGTTTATGTATTTTTCTGAGATAAAATAGATAAATATTATGATCTGTAACGAAACTGCGCAAGTCTGGCGTCGCGACGTCTCTCGCCTGGCACGAATCGAGCGTCGCGGTCGCTTCAGTCCGATCACAGAACAGATTAAAACAGAACGAAATCTTCCGTACAAAAAATTAGGACAACATTTTGGTACGCCATCTATGACACGGATTTAGAACTACAAATTAAATTAAAAAAAAGAAATCTGCAATTAAATTTTAAAAAGAAATCTACATTGCATTCAAAGCAATTTTGGCAGCGCCATCTATAGTATTATATTACACCTAATTAATTTAATATACCGTATGTTCGAAAAATAACGATTCCAAGTTAACTTAAAAATGACGATCGATAACATTTTCTTTGTAAAGTTATATGGTTAATGTCATCAATAGTCATTTCTAAGTTAACTTGAAGCCGTATTCTTCGATCATACAATATTTAAACTAGGATGATTTTATACCAGATATTTTGTTTCAAGTAAATTTAAATAAACATCTTATACAATATATTTTTTAAAAAATATGTTGTAAAAGATGTTTGATTTAATATACTTGCCAAACAAATGATCTAGTCTATAATCGTTAAACAATACACATGCGGTAAAAATCACATTACAATATTTTCTATACCAAAATCAAAAAGTACTACCAGATTTAACTTAATAATAGGTGTATGATTAATAACACATGTGAATTGATTATATACCAGATATTACAAGGAAGTTTATAATAAAAATCATTTTTTATTTATTTTTTCTTTTTTTGTAGATTTCGAAATTTTACAATACAAATGCGGCTCATTAAATTTATAGGCAACTACAAATTAAACATTACAATTATTGCTCGGATAAAATATATACAACTATTTTTGTATTTTTTTTTGTTTTCTAAATTTCTATACCTAGGTACATGGTAATACTAGTAAGTAATACAGTATGATCGAAAAAACGGAGTCAAGTTGGCTTGGAAATGACGCGGTCGATGACATTCCTCATAAAATTTTACATATAGAGAGAGAATGACAGCGATATTCATTTCCATAGCCAACGGTGACGCTGTTTTTTTTCGATCATATTGTACCATACGATTACGAAAAGCTGCATCAAGCTACCTTAGGAATGACAATTGATGGCATTCAAAATGTAAATTATGTTAGTAAATCTAACCAATTAATGAATATCAATCTTCCATCGATAGCCATTTCCAAGGTACAATTAACCTAACCTAACCTAGCTGTTATCGAGCAGGTTATATTATTATAAACTAATTTCTAGGTACTTACATATAAAGAATAATCCACTCTAGATGGATACACAAAATAAAAAGTTCTTAATTTAAAATAATACACTATAAAAGGCCGGGCACACAACATAAAACGTCTTTACTTTGAGAATGAACACTACGACACTCACAACCACAAAACACATACCTCTCAGCTCCAGAAAAAGTTAGGCACTGATGGCATGGCTGCCGGGAAAAATGACGAAATATTACGATGAGACGGGTGGCGGGAAGAAACTTTTCCTTCCCTCTTACTCCGCCAATGTATTTTTAAATCGACAGTGGCGCCCTCTGACAGCGGGATTTGGCAATTCTTGTTCCAAATCCTGCCATTTAAGTTTTTGCACCGTGGTCCGATCCTGTCCGCCACAAAATGAACGATTACGTCATAGCGTCGCCCCAACACTCGACGCTTTCCGACGACAACGACGCCAGCTCCAGCCGAGAAACCGCCCTCCTAAACAATGGCAACTCCTCCTCGAACAAATGCTTCAAGACGGCCTACGTCGCCCCCGCGGAAAAACAAAAGAAACCCGTAGCCAGGGGCCGTAAAACGTTCGCCTTTTGGACCCTCGTCTGTCTTTTGTTCCTGCTGGCCATCGGCAACTTGATTTTAACCATGACGATCTTGGGCGTCCTGAAATTAGGAAACGGTATGCAGAGTATCGAGCTTCTTCCCAAGGAGGGGTTCTTAAAGATGTTTGGAAACGTTGATTTGGATCACATCTATAAACAAGACGGAAAAATCGAAGGTTTTGACGATGAAAACGTCGAAGTTACCACAGACGACGGTTCGATTATGCTGAATCTTTATACCAAAACGAATCGCGTGGTCAATAAGCTTCAAATTGATAACAACGAAACTGTATTCAAGGGTTTCAATAAGTTCGTGGTCAAAAACAAGCAACAGGACACCATTTTTGACCTGACCAATCCTGTCTTCAATAATGTAAAGAATGTTTATAATTTTAACAGCAAAATTGTTGAGACTAACACTGTAAGAAGCCCGTTGAAGGAAAATCTAAAAATTGAAGGAGAGAGCGTTCATCTAAATGGAGCCGAAGGTACTAAATTAGAAGGTGAGTAAAATAAACAGAAAATATTGATTTCTGATGTTTGAAATATAATTGAGGGCCTTAAAATAAAAAGGCACCAAATAACTTTTTTTTAAATGGACTTAAGTATAGATTTGCACTGGATAGACGTACTTTAGAATAGTTTAGATGCTATTTGATATTAAAAAGGAATTAATCTTTTTACTGGAAGTCCCTCAATTATTAATTCAGAAATTAATTGTATGATTAGGGCAGACAAAAATACCCTAAAGTAAAATAAAATCAGTAGCTACAGTAGGATATGTAAATGAATTAAGTAGGTACGAAAAATTCAAGAGGTGATTGCTTTTAAAAAAAATAAATGGAGTAGCTGTTTGCTGCTTGAATACCTTGCATCTTGTCTATGATGTATTCAAATACTCATTCTAAAAATTTAAATTTTTTGGTGCAAATCGTTTTTGAACCAAATCGATAATATTCTGCTTTTACTTCATCCCATATATGATATAAAAAAATTGGCGCCGGGAGGCACGTATAGCCGCTCATACTACAATATGTTAATATCTCGAAAACTGCGACTTTGACTGATTTTGATATTATTACAAATTTTGTTGCAAATATTATTCCTAATCTTAATTTGAAAACCGCGTTTCGCTAGCTACTGTAATTTTGGAGTTACGATTTTTTTAAATTTTTAACCCCCTCCCATACCCCCTTACCAACCCCCCACCTCCACCAAAAACTAATGGTCAGATTCTCGGGTGCCACAGTATTTTTGTGCCAAATTTGGTTACAATCGGTTCAGCGGTTTTTGAGTTATCGTGTTACAGACGGACAGACAGACAGACACCATGAAAATATTTTGTATTTAGGTCATTTATGACCCAAATAACTCATTTTGAGTGAAATTAAAAAAACTTTTTTTTGCCGATCTTAATAGCCTACCATACCTATTGGTATGGTCGGCTAAAAAGTTGTAGCAAAATGCCAAATTGATAAATATGATGAGTATCCAACAACCTTCTGATTTTTTTTCGTACTTATTCATTTACACCCTGTATACCAGCTATAATGAATTAGAAAAATATTTGTCAATCAATTATTTCAGGCATTTATAATCATGTAACTTAAAACAATCAATCGTCTGGAAATATATCGAAGAATTAAAGGAATACCAATATAGTGTAAATAAGTAATTATAAACAAGGATTATCTGTATACAGGGTGTTTCTTAATGACATGCTAATATTTAAGGGGGTGATATCTTAGACCCTTTCTAAAAGAAAAACTTCATATGAATGTACGTCCTAAACATCTTAATTTCTAAAGATAATAACTCTGATTTTATTACAGATATCTTTATGAAAATTGATACACGTCTTCTATGCATCAAAGTACCTTTTTTGATGTACAGATAATTCTATTTATTTCAACCAGTGCCGTCCATACGGGTTTTACATTGAATATTTTTTAAGAAAAAATTGGTTACACTACTGACTTCTAAATAAAAAGTATTTTAAAAATCTCCATTCGTCTCTAAAACAATTTTTATCTCTTGATTTTTTTCGTCCAACGCATAATTTTTGCTTAAAAAAAATAAAGTCGGTTTATTTAAGGACCAAATTGCTGAAAATCTGATGAGGTGACTGTTGTGTGAAAATCCTTTCTGCATTGGCTGGAAGGAAATTAAAAAATTAAACATTTTTTTGTCAGAGATATTTTGAAAAAAAATAGGAAATTTTACCATCCTGGATCTGGAAAGTTAAGATGTTTAGGACATACAGTCATATGAAGTTTTTTTCTTATAATGGGTCCAAGAATCACCCCTGTAAATATTAGCATGGCGTTAAGGAACACCCTGTATTTGTGATATGTGATATGAACGACTCCAATAAGATCAAACTTTTTTTCCATTTAGCAAAATAAATTAAATAATAAGAACACTATATTTGCTTTTTAACAGGTAAAGTACATGTCTGTTTCTCCAGTGCATTAAAAATTAAATAGCCATATCTTATAATAATCACAGTGTTCTCATTTTAGTTGCTTTACATTATTTTGGCCATCCCGGATCACGGGTGAGATATTTGAAACGTTAAATGTTTATTAGCAAATAGAGATTAATAAAACAAATTGTGTTACTTATTTTTCAAAATGCGAAAATTATAGTCACTATTTTACGGTACATACCATTAAAATATAAATGAACACCATAGAATCAAAAATAAGTTTTATCAACTGGGCTATGAAAAATTTAATGTAATTTCCCAAAAAAAATTGTCAGCGTACAAAGCACACTAGAAAAAAATGTCTATAGTATATATCCATGTATATATCTATGTGGCGGATTCATCTCTCCAAAAAATCCTCTATGGGTATTTCGCCACTGCAAGAAAATCTACAAAATAAAATAGTTATTCTTTGTAAACATTTCTGCGTTAATTCCAAACGGAAACTACTTGTCACAAGTTAGGTTTACAGTTTAACGAACAAAAAAATGCTTAACGTTTCGGAAAGTTTATCTCTTTTCGTCGTCGGAAGCAAAAAAATACAAGAATAAAGAAAAAAAACTATTAAAATACAACTATTCGAGAACACTTTAGTTTTTTAAAACAGATACGTCTACAAAAACCGTTGACGTTCTGTTAAAATGACATATCAAGTTTAACTTGACAAAAAATAACTATTTTATTTTGTTGATTTTCTTGCAGCGGCGAAATACCTACCCATAGAGGATTTTTTGGAAAGCAGATTAGATTATAAAAAAATCGATTGTATTGTAATTCTTTTCTAGTATAATTAACTGAATGCTATTTATTTAAATACCTTTTTCTTTTACAGCACGAGAAATAGTATGGAGCGCTGACCAAGATATTTACCTAAAAGCGAAAAACGGTTCGATAGTCCTAAGCGGAAAAGAGGGCACGTATATTGACGTTAGGAGAATCCCAATTGCAAAACTGGATAAAAAGAATTATGTAACAGCTCAATTTAAAATTTGTGTTTGTATGCCACAGGGAAAATTATTTAGGGTACCTGTCGCCAATGCAAATGACCCTGTATATTGTCATCATGTAGACATGTCCCCTCAACACAACCCTTGTATGTAATTTATTAAGTTTTGTAAATATTATTAGTTTATGGTATAGAAATTTTAGTTTAGTTATTTAGGAATTATATACAAAATAGATCAATAAAATTACTGTTTGTTGTTTAAATACATTCTTTATTACCAAACACACTTTTGTCAAGGTATTGTATCACAAAAAATAATCTAATAAAAAAAGGTCATTTTATTGAAAAGTGTTTGAATGTTACGGACTTAACTCATAGTGAAAATACACCACAAAACATCAATTTTTAACTTCTTACTTCAAACTTTTTATTCGAAATGTTGCTCTTACAAATCTTGTGTTTCCATGCTTTCATCCCCATCACCTTCTTCCATTTCTTCATCTTCCTCGCCATCTTTCTTCTCTGGAGGATTTTCATATGCCTTATCTAAAGGTGACACAACTACACCATCCCAAACTGACATCTCCTTGGCAATATTATTGCTACCTTCCATACCCAAGATTTGTTTATAACCTCCATGTGCAAGCACACGAAGTAAAGTTTGGGCTGTGAGGCAGCAGATGTCTTGCTGTTCTAACGACATAGCCGTATGAATTCTCAAACTTACACCTTCACAAGGATCTGTAATTCCAGCCGATCCTGGCAGGAACAGACCAGCAGCAAGAAGCTGAAATACTCTTCTAAAAGCTACATTTATAGGGAGCGCCTGCCTACTAGGATTATGCATAATGGAGAAATGAGCTAGTAAATCCAACATCCAAGGTGTTAAAGGTTCAAAACCCTCAAATCTCCCACGTATATCGCGAAGTAAACGAATCAAAACCTTAATAGAAGAATGATGAGCATTTTCTTCAAACCATCTGCTGTGACGAATAGCAGCTAAATGACTTGACATTATTTTTTGATCTAAGTGAATTTCTGTGTCTAGTTTACGAAGATTGTGATGTACCGTTGTTACCATCACTCTAACACAAGCAAAAGCATTACTAATTTCAATGCCCCTTTCATTGGTAGCATGAACCAGCTGTTCACCTTTTGGTACAATTTCATTTTTCATTAAGTTCTTTAAATCTTCCTTAACCTTGTTTCCCAAAGCTTCTACAGCTTCCCTTGTTGGAAGAGTTTTTAAAATGACAACTATATCAGCCACATTATGTCCCGCAACCATAGTTCCTTTCTTAAAGGATCCCACTTGGCGTACCTCATCTAATTGCTAAAATATTCCAATATCAAAAAAAACATAATCACATTTTTTAAAAAATAACTTACACAGGAGTCAAAATTTCCAGGAGCCACTACTAAATTATCTAATACTGTTTGTATCTTTGTTACCAAATTTAATATAGCTGTTTGCTCATTAGGTGTAGGAGATAAATCGGCATTTCTCTTCAGTAATGCTTGTGTAAAAGCAGTCTCTTCTGGAGCTGGCTTAGTACGAGGAAATGATGATTCGCACAAAGCCAAATCAAAGGGATGCCGGGGTAAAAACATCTTTACTTTGAAGGGTGGCCTTCCGCCCAAACCACGATTCATGCCGCCTCGGCCTCTCATTCCACCTCTAGCCATTGTACTAAAAAGTAGTTTTTATTGTCAGAACAAAATTAGACGTGCGTCTCATAAATAGTAATCCGTACTTACCTAATTCTGTTAATTTGCGGCTAAAAAGGATAAAACAAATTCCCTCAAGGCTAGAATCACAAAAAGGAAGCCGGAATGACAATTGACATAAGTCGATAAAAACAAGATTTTGCCAACTGAAATTTCTCTAGTCAGTTGGTACTTCATAAAAAAATAAAAAAGGTTGACACTATTGTCAATAGTGGTATACGAAAAACAAACATTCAGAAAACTAAGATAGATGAAAAGCGTAGTATAAGATAATTAAATTAAAATAACAATAGATAATAACAACTATAATACAAAATTTAGTTTTAAAGTAACAAATTATTATTTTTGTAGTAGTTGGCGACACTAGCTTCAGCTCCAAAAAATTCTTCCATGGTATTTCATCATTTGTCATTTTTGTCAATTCGAAATTTGAGTGAGGTTTGAATTTTTTTTTCTATTTTCTGTTGAGATTTTTGATTTTTATTTATTACTTTTCAAGATATTTTATACTAAAAATGTTTTTTTTTACAAAACAAAAAAGCTTCATCACGTATCAAATGTTTGTTAAATATTAAAATGTACATAAATCTCTAACATTGTCTAATAGGTATTAAAAAGATAACCAGATTTTATTCATATCAACGTTTATCGATAAATCTTAAACGATAAATTCAATATTCATTATCTGTTTACTTAAATTAGAGCTACGAGAAATACCTATATATTGTATGATAATATTCAAGTGCAATTAGTTTATAAATTAAAACATGACATAAAATAATTCCGAATCAGTTCAAATTGTTAAATTTTTTAAAGAATATGGAGGAAAAGGATATTTTGTTGGAAGTCTATCCGGAAAAGCAAGTCTCTATTGATATGAGTGATGGTCTTCTTAAAGAGGTACTGAAAAATAACGTGGAACACTTATTTCCTTTATTAACTGAAGAAGACATCAAACGAAAATATAAAGAATTTAAGGGACACAATATCATTACAATTGCCTGCATCAGATCAGAGGTAACAGAACAAACATTGGAAAAACTACTGGAGTATGTATTTGATAGATTTCCTCAAATAGATCTAACAAATGAAAAGTGGTATTATTGGGAACCAATTCATTATGCTGCTCATATTGTAGATTATAACAAATTAAAAACAATTTTGAATAGCCCCTACAAAGACAGAATAAATGTATTGTCAGTTTTTTCAGAAAATGCATTACATGTGTTACTAGAATATGGAAAGAGATCAAAATCATTCAACGTGGATTTTTCGAACGGATGGGAAAAAAAAACATGTCGCGTCATATCTGAAGAGAAAGATAATTTAGTAAGATGTGCTAAAGCTCTGATCAATGCAGGTATAGATGTAAACCACAAAAATATTTGGAATGAATCTCCAATAATTATAGCTCTTAGATACAGATTTCTTAGGGTATTAAACGTTCTTCAGTATCAACCAAACATTGACATAGATTCTTGCAAAGATTTAGTACTTAATAAAACAGCGCGGGATATAATGAAAGAGAATGATATAGACGTAAATGGTATTCCATTCAGTGCTGCAGTGTTTAATGATCCAAGAAATTTGCTTTTTACACTACTTAAGAGCAACAATGAAGATAGATTCCTACGTTACAACAATGAAGATATTAGGAAATATTCTAACTTCATCGACGGTGAAAAAGAAACAACTACAAGTGGTAATTTGTTACAACTATGTCTCATTAAAGGCTTTATTGCCTATCAGAAAGAAAATCATTCAATGAACTTGAACAAAGACATCATGAAGACTAAAATGCTTCGCGTATTTTGTCACAAAGGAATGGTGAATAGTGTAGAACACTTACTTGATAATGACGCAATGGTAAAACAGAATAACAGAATGTTTCATTATTTAAACACCTTCCAACTCGCAGTAAAGCTAAGTTATTATCCATTTTTGGTAATGGTATTTCAACATAGATCAAATCAAATACAACCACCTGACATTTTGGATGTATTAAAAGACGTTAATAGGCCTCCTTTTGATCCAGACAACTATTATTCCAGACATGTTCTCTTTTTACTGTTATGCAAGCTGGACACTTTTTACGACTCTTGCTCCCTAAGCATTAATTATGACTATGTCAATAGATTAAATGATGTCTTGGATTTCTGTATGGAAAACAATAAAGGCAACATGTATGATGAAGTTATCTACCTGGCTCTGCGATTAGGAGCTCAATTATGTGACAGAAAAGATGTCAAGACTGATCCCAAATTAGAACTTCTATCTTGTGAAATCTTAAATAATCATCTAGATCAGTGTATAGGTGTTGATAATAAAATATGTTATAATAGTATAGTGTTTGATGATGAGAATCACTATTCTGAAGTTGATGTTGTACGCAGACTATATCACAGTAACAAAACAAGTGAGCTACTTAATCATCCAGTACTTATTAACTTGATCCACGAAAAATGGACTAAAAGCAAACACGTATTTTATTCAAATTGTATTCTTCATTGTATATTTTTGGTTGTATTGTATATCTACATGGTTTCTTTGCAGATAAATGCCGTTTCTCAGATTTTATTCTGTGTATTTTGTTCTTTTGTGACTTTTTTAACATTAATGGAGTTGTTTGAAATGTATATCTACAGTTTTAGATATTTTTGGGACCCTATGAACTACATTGATCTTTCAGTGCTGTCTTGTAGTATTTACAATATTTATTTTAAGGATGAAAGAGCGATGGTAACAGCGATATTGCTATATACCATTAAAGTTTTATTGATTCTTGGGCAAATACCAAGATTTACTAAATACATGATCATCTTTAGTTCAACGAAATACTTTTTCGAATATGTTTTATTCTACTTCATCCAATTCTTCTCCTTTGCTTTGTGTTTCTTTATTTTGTTAACGCCAGAATCTGAATTCAATGCATTGGGGCAAATTTTCGTAAAACTATTTGAAAGTCTGTTTTTCTTTATAGGGCAGTATGATGGAGAAATAGCTCATCCCATTAATTTTCCTATTTTTTCCCGATTAATAATTACTCTGTTCTTATTTTGCATGACGTTAATTCTCAACAACCTACTGGTAGGATTGATTGTAACTGATATGGATATACTTCAAAAAAGGGGCAAGTTGATGCGTCAATTAAAAATGGCAAAATACGTGGTCAGGGTGGAAAAGTTCATGAGAACCTTCAAAAAATGTTCGTTAAAACGGTTATGCCCGGATACGCGTCTGTTCCACATGGGCCAACAGAAACATCTTCAGTTATCCATGGACATATTGGACGAAGAGGATAAAGAATACCTAAATAAAATTGATAGAAGCAAGAAGTCTTCCACAAGCATTTTAGCTGCCTTACACGATTTCATAGTAAAACAAGTAGATGTAGAGCCAAAACACAAGCAGGACTCAAAAGAAATTTTAGAAAAATTAATTAAGTTAGAAGAGCAACTAAAAAAATTGAAACTATAATGTTACCTACTTTTTTTACTGTATTAGATTTAAGAAAAACAACTTTATTGTATTGGACTGAGTTTACGTTTGTACTTATTTCTACTTAATATTGTTATTTTATCAAACTTTTATATTTACTTAATTTTTTGTTTTTAGATTTACATTTTATGTTACGGAAATTAAAAATAAAATCGAAATGAAATCAGTGTTTTTCTGAAAAGTAAACTCCCATAAAAAAACTGATTAAATTAACAACCTAAAGTGCCTTTGTCGAGATAAATAATGGTATTAATCATTGTTAAGTGTGTATATCGAAGATAAGGCATCAAATTAATGATAAATGGTGTAAATCAGTAGAAATTATCGAGACAAATGATGATCCCAGAAATAAAAGGTTACTTAAACTAAGCTAAATGAATTCTAAAACTTATATTTTGAAATACCTTTCAGACGAGGCAAATTATTATTGCGACCTATGCAGTATATTGATAAACATTCACGATAAGGAAAACCATCTGAATGGCAACAAACACAAATACAAACTTCGGAAAAAAGAGTCCAGTAGGTAATTAGGGGTTGTTATAAGGTGTATGTAGTTATTTTAAGGTATTTTCAGAATCCAGTAATAGAAGCGCAGAATTTGAATGCAAAACTTGCGAAACGAAATTTACCAACGATGAATTTTACAAAATTCATATGGGAAGTAAAACGCATAGGAGGAATTGTCGGAAAAAGGGAATTAAGTTTAATGTAGGGCGTAAAAGGGATTTTGGTTACGGAGTAAAGGTAGGTAGAGTAAAATAGAATAAAGAGATACAGTAAAGTGTAAAATAAAATATCTGGAGAAAAACAAAAAAAATGTAAAAATTATTTTATCAATTTTGCTCTAAATGAGAACAAGTGCCGTATGAAAAAAAATGGCGTCATAGTGGTCATTAACAATCGATGATATCTCTCGAACCGACCACTCTAGTTGTCAGAGACAAGACCTGATATTATTTATTAAAAATTTACATAAGAATATGTCAATAATTAATATTTTATTTAGTTTTAACAGTTTTCAAACAAGACTGTGACGCCGTTTTTTATCGTATATTATACCAATCATTACGCTTATACTATTATATATTGATTAAAAAATCTACTTACCGTATAGATAATTTCCAAGGCAAAAAAATTATTCCATTTTGTTATGCTCGTTTTCTTTATAGAATTAATCAGTGTTTTGTATATATTTCACTTATATTATTATTTAGGACGATGGCGATGGCCACTTTAAACCAACTCCAAGACGAGCTCCATTGCAAAGTAAGTTTCAACACACACGTTATACACGGCGAGTCTTAAATAAGTGCAAATATTTTCAGGACTGGTAGATCTCGATAAAAGAAACATATTTTCTCTTTACCATTATTCAAATAAGTCTAAAATAACCATTTTACTTTGAACAAAAAAATGATTTTTCGCTTAAATTTTCAGAACCGTTGGATCTTTTCTGTTTTCTTTACTCTTAACTAAAAAATTAAAAAAAACTCTAAATTTTAAATTTTTCTTTTCGCGAAAAATCATCATAAACTTGTTTCTTGGATCGAAATATATACTACCCCTAAAAATATTTGCACTTATTTTTAGACTCACCCTGTATAAAATATTTCTAAATTTTTTTTTTCAGAAACTTTTAGCCTTGAACATTATGCAGAACCTACATATTACAAAAGCGTTAAGGAGGTAAGAAAAACTCTATATTTACCAGGTTTATATTTTTTTTTTCAAGAATTTTGTACTAGTGAAAAACGTTGACACAGTAGCCTTTGAAATTACTATCAATGATCATTTCTGTCGGAGCGACCTCTATTTATTACCAAATTTATTTCGTTAAATAAATCTCTTTGAAAATTTGTTATTATTTTTAATTAAATATTCATTTTTGACAATTTTTTTTGTTAAATATATATGACATTTTTTTATTCCAAAGGCCATTGTGACGTTGCTTTTTTTTGGATAATACGACAATCGTACATATCAGTTCTTTTTTTAGAAATACCGTTCGACTGATATCAAAAATCACGAAGAAAAATTACAAGTTTATGTAAATTCTTTGTTGGCCTATTGGGGAGTGGCTCTGGCAACCAATCCCAACGTTGAAGATTTCAAATTCAGCGTCGATAACAAAGATTGGGGCAAATTTGGTGACGTAGTTCTGGAAATTAACTACGTTACGACCCCTGGCGAAAAACCTATCAAAAACATTTACGCTATCAGCCTGAAGTACATATCAAACAACGCTAAACAAATCGATGACATAAACAAAGGGAAATTTAACTTCTCCAAGTTGATTGCGGAGACGCTTGGATTTGAATCACCTAAAAGCAACGAAATAATTAAATACGTCATTTTCACCACTGCAGAACCTTCTCCTAATTTCCAGCCTAAGCTTCGCCTAAAAGTAGACGCTTTTCATCAGAAAAACAGCCATTCTGACTGCAACGCAGACTATATTGACATATCCGGTAGAAGCCTGCATAAAAACGATATTATCAATACAGTTGACGAAAAGGAAAATGCTTTTTTATTATTTTCGACTGATAAAACTCACCCGCTACCAAAAGTTTATTTGTATGCTGGTCAAAAGAAAGTCAAGCGCTTTGGAATGGACATAGACGAGAAAATATCAAAGCTGTTTGTCCACAATCACATCGAAATTCATCAAGCTATCATCGATTTTATAACAGACTGGAATGACGATCTCCTCGGTGGTTCCTACAAAATGAACAAAGAAGACATTTTGGTTAAATTGGGAGATCTACTCTTGACACCTTTTGCCACAAAAGCCGAAGTGATGATGGATTATCATCAGAATTTTAACGCTTGGAACCTGGCGGTCAACTCGGTTGACGTTACTATCCTTCGACCACATCCCTTTATCTTACACAACGTTTGTAGACCAATTAATTTAAAATTAGAACAACTTTACCAACTCAAAATCGATCCTAATCCAAAAGAAGTAAGGGTACCTGACGACAAGTTGCTGGACCTTGATAAAGCCTTAGCTATGTATTTGTTTGAGGAAACGATTGGTATAGACTTTGAACACGTGCCTTTAGACGTAGTATACAGGGCGTTTTGGAAAGCTGGCCTTATACCCCTTATTCTCCACGCTGAGCAAAACGACGACCAAGAGTTTATAATGCAAGTTATTACGGTACTAAAAGGCCTAGGACTAACACGTAAATACATGCTAAAAATGCCAGATGCGAATATAGAGAATCTTACAAAAACTTATAAATATCTTACCTGTTTCGTAAACTTGGACGATGTCATTCAAAAATTTCCCAAAGGTCTTCTGAGTGAGTTAAAAATAGGGATATCAGAGGAGTATTCTTTAGACTTGTCTGTTATACAAGAAAACGATAAATATTTCTCTAAAAAAATCACACCCAATGAATATTTTGATCTAACTTTAGGCAAATATTCTTTTAAAGAATGTTTTGATGTACAATCTGAAAAAGAACCAGAATGGAAACTTGTTTTAAATGATGAACTGATAGAACACCTGAAACAGCAAATTGGACTTCAGGAAGATTATTTTCATGAAAGGGAAAATGGCTGGATCCGTGGTATTAATCCGGAATTACTTTGAAAGGTTAAAGTTAATAAAAAAGCAATATTTATATTCAACGTTTATAAAATTATAACTGCCTTTTTTGTCAGTCTTACAGGTATATGTAAACACAGCACAAGTATTAAAAAAACATCAACTTACATAAAATGAACAAGGATATATAAAGTATTTTATAAGTACTTGTAATAGTTATAGTCTAGAAATTTTTTTTTCTTACTAAGAAAATAAACTTTGGTAAAATTGGGAGATCTACTCTTGACACCTTTTGCCACAAAAGCCGAAGTGATGATGGATTATCATCAGAATTTTAACGTTTGGAACCTAGCGGTCAACTCGGTTGACGTTACTATTCTTCGACCACATCCCTTTATCTTACACAACGTTTGTAGACCAATTAATTTAAAATTAGAACAACTTTACCAACTCAAAATCGATCCTAATCCAAAAGAAGTAAGGGTACCTGACGATAAGTTGCTGGACCTTGATAAAGCCTTAGCTATGTATTTGTTTGAGGAAACGATTGGTATAGACTTTGAACACGTGCCTTTAGACGTAATATACAGGGCGTTTTGGAAAGCTGGCCTTATACCCCTTATTCTCCACGCTGAGCAAAACGACGACCAAGAGTTTATACTGCAAGTTATTACGGTACTAAAAGGCCTAGGACTAACACGTAAATATATGCTAAAAATGCCAGATGCGAATATAGAGAATCTTACAAAAACTTATAAATCTTACCTGTTTCGTTAACTTGGACGACGTCATTGAAAAATTTCCCAAAGGTCTTCTGAGTGAATTAAAAATAGGGGTATCAGAGGAGTATTCTTTAGACTTGTCTGTTATACAAGAAAACGATAAATATTTCTCTAAAAAAATCACACCCAATGAATATTTTGATCTGACTTTAGGTAAATATTCTTTTAAAGAATGTTTTGATGTACAATCTGAAAAAGAACCAGAATGGAAACTTGTTTTAAATGAGGAACTGATAGAACACCTGAAACAGCAAATTGGACTTCAGGAAGATTATTTTCATGAAAGGGAAAATGGCTGGATCCGTGGTATTAATCCGGAATTACTTTGAAAGGTTAAAGTTAATAAAAAAGCAATATTTATATTCAACGTTTATAAAATTATAACTGCCTTTTTTGTCAGTCTTGAAGATATATTCGTAAACACAGCACAAGCGTTAAAAAAATAACTTACATAAAATGAACAAAGATATATAAAGTATTTTATAAGTACTTTTAATAGTTATAGTCTAGATATTTTATTTGTTACTACTCAGAAAATAAACTATTCATAATCAAAGCTTGGCTTTATTATATCTAAATATAAAGATCTTTTAAGAACTTTTTACTATGACAGTATCAAATTTCTTTATCACAAACTTTTATTACTTTACCAAATAATTCTTTGAACATGTCTCATGCCTTCCCAATGAAGAGATTTTGTAAAAAATATATTAAAAGTGATCATGTTTATAACAAAATAAGTTATCAATTCTAGGACAACATTAAAAACTGCAGAGTCCTTATTCTGTATTCTTAATCTAATAATAAGGTATGGCACTAAAAAGTATCTTACTTCCATTAATGATTGAAAAATAAGAAGCGTTACAGCTGGAAAAATACAAGGGAAAAGCTTATATCACTCTTATCCCACACCAATTTTATGATAACATAAAGAGAAAAAATGTAAACTGGAATCATTGAATATCTAAACCACCAGTATTTGCCGTAAAACCTATTCCATACGTAAAATATAAAATGCCTATTATCTGCTAGTAAATATGGATGTACTACAGTATTAAAATAAATTACCAAAACGCTAATCAAAATACTTAAAGTAATAAGCAATTTATGACGTTTGGCAAATAGCAAAAAATTAAAAACTTCACTGGCAAAGTAAGGCCACCCAAAAATTAAACAAAATAAACTGAAATAGAAGACCTGTGGAATGTTAATTGACAATTGATGAGCTTCCTTATCGCCTACGACTATGCTCCCATTAATTATGACAAAAGCAATAAAAAATATTAAAACTGAAAGGTAACATGAGAAATTTAACCAAAACCTGTTTGACATAGTACTTAAAATCCTCCCTGGATTTGTTGCCATGTCCCACACGAATTTTTGAAAGTGCTAAAAATCACATATTAATTTAATAATGTTATAATTATTGTTAGCTTACTTTAACTTACTTTGGCTGGTAATTTTCCATCTTTTTTCAAATGATTTTTCTTTTTAACCCAACCATTATATAGTTCACATAGTACATATTTTGTAGCATAAATTCCCAGAAAAACAACATTAGTTTGTCGGCAAAGAATAGACAAGAATCCTAAAAAAATAAATCAATTTATAAGTACCACAAACTCAATATTACACTTCTTTTTATTAACGTACTATTATTTTTATGAAATATAAAGGTTTTCTGATGCAAAATTGTGGAAATACATATCATTTAATTTATCAGAAACAAATGATTACAAATAATAAAGTATTTTTTTTAAGTTTCCTAATAAATAAAAAAAAATAATGTTACCTGCCAGAGAAGAAAGATAATGAAAACCTTTTTCACTTAAAATAATAACTAGAAGAATTGATGTTAGAGATACCATATCTGTATAATAAATGTGTGACAAGAAGTACAACGGTGGTAAAAGAACCATGGCTATTGCTGACAAAATCCTTTGCCATTGTTTCTACAATAGAGATATACCTATAATTATGTTTTGTAAATAATATACGTAATTTACCTTTGTATTGCAAGAGAAAATAATGTAAAATAGAAACAGATTGATACACGAGAATATCAGCGATATGAATCTTAAATTATAAAGTTTACATAATCCAAATGGGCCCAAAATAATAGAGCTTATTAAATACAGCCCTGGCAACGTGGTAACTTTAGGATCCCACTAAAAACAATAAGATATAAAATGCTGAACAAACATATTTACATGTTACCTTATCAAATTGAAAAAAACAATACTGTTCACCCAAGGGGAAATGAAATTCTTCGTCTATTATCAAATGCGATCTTTTATAAACCTTATCGAATAAAATTTTCGATAAAACACTGTATATTCCGACCACTGCAATTACCACAAAATTTGAAATTTCCATAATTTTTATTAAAAAATAAAACAAAGTTTGGAAAATATACCGCACATTACTTGTTTCATAACTGAGGTTATGTTAAAAATCAGCTGTCATAAAAAAACCATAGATTATATAATCCGGAAAATTAAAACTTAGTAAACACTGTTGTCAAACTGTAAAATTTTGTATTAAAAACCAGTAAATTTCAACATGGACAATTTATAAATTTAAATATATTTGTATTTTAATAACATCGAAACTATGTCAGCCATTCTTTTATAGTAGAGTTCGCTACGATATTGATGATCTTGATACATATCATCGAAAAGCAACCTTCCGCCTTCAACCATTTCAGATAACGTTTTCGCTTCCGACTCGTCTCTTAACAAAAAGTCCATATTACCAACGGCAACAAAGAAAACTACTTTGCAAAACATTTTCCAGTGAGCTTCCAACAAATCGTAAGGAAATATTTCGTTGATGTTTATACCGGCACTGTTCAAATTCTCACCGAGTATTTTGTAATAAATTGAAAGGTATTTTTTGTGGTTTTCTAAAATATCTTTAGAACCTGAAAGAAAAAGGAAATAACACAAATCGTACGCAGGCGATCCGATTTTCGATATTTGCCAATCCAGAAAACAACATGTCGTTGGTTTTTCCGATTTTAAAGCATCCTAAAAATGAAAAATTTAGATAAAATCCTCAATACACTCGGCAACGTTGCAATTTTAAATATATATTAATCGTATATGCAACCAAGTATACAAGTAAAATTTTAATATATTTTTAGAAAATATATTAAAATTTAAATTTCTTTTAAATTAGAAGGCATTATTGTTTTTTAAATAAACCTATACTAACTTCGTATTTAAATAATAAGTTGTTACACCATGAATCGCCGTGGATAATAACTAAATTAAGATTATCTTCGGAGACCTCTTTGAAAATAACTTCAACATTTTGCTCGATTCCTTTTAAAGCATTGATAGCTTCGTCATTCTCTTTGACGGCGGAATAGACATAGCTAAACCGTTTTTTCATTTGTTCTACCCACGAACCGAAAAAATCTTTCAGATAATCATTTAAATTTTCAGAAAATTGAGCATATTGCTCAGGACGATGATGTTTTAAAACTGAAAATAGAAATTATTAAAATGATTTAAAAAGTGTTTAATTAAGTGAAAAAAATAAGATGTACGGGATTGGAATACTACAAGCATAATATTGAAAGTTACAAAAAAGATTTAAATTTTTAGTCGATCTCATATAACTCATAGAAAAAATGAATATTTTTTTAATATAAAAACAAGAAAACTACTCTCAATACATTTTGTGATATCGATTCTGACTGAGTATAGGAAGTGCTTAACAAAACATAGTGTTTAATAAAAATAGTGCTGATTTATAAAATACAGGATGTTCCATTTAAAATGGCGGAGAATAGTGTACTTTAATTTTCAGAATTCTTTTTTATAGAATTTTGTTTAGAATATTGATAACTTGAATATAATTTGAAAAATTATTTAGATACATACCAAAAGATAGAGAATGTATTTTTGCCAATTCTTTGATAATCATTTCGATATGATCGTGGTTCATCGTTAGTTTTCTGTCTTTCAAAAGAAACCCCTCGGCTTTCATGTTATCGAAAACCAAAAATTCCTCCTTATCGTCCAAACATGCCCCGTGAAACTTCGCAAAAGCACGGGTGGGGTGCGGAAGGTCTACATCATTTTGTATACTCAAAAAAGCAGGTATAACTTCTTTGTATATAAAAGCTTCTCTTTGGTAGCATTTTGTTACCGGGAACTGTTTCCTTAACTCTTCATTTTTATCTGCGCACTTTATTATCAACGATTTTTGTCTGTCTCCTTCCAAAATCTTCACAGAAAATATTATTCCCAGATAGTTATCCCCTTTCTTAGACCCTGCTTCAATTTTGAGTTTAAATTTGTTAAAACCATATTCTGCGGCTACTTTGTTCACAAAATTGGTCTGTTTCTGGGTAAGCATTTTCGGACACTATGCAAGATTAGTTGATGAATTAAAATTGTGAATAAGAGTGCGTGATAAACTACATACTTCATAGCAAACATTGAATTAGAAATAGACCATAGTCTTTTGAAAAATTTTCAATACGAAATCTGAAGCTTCAAATCCTTCAATTATAATTCAAACAGCAAATTTAATAAATTATAAAATTGCTTTAAATTAGCTCGAGTTTGTTAGCAATTATAATGATAAACAAAAAGAATTTTTAAAATAAATTCAGGAACAAAAAAATCGTGAATTTGATCGTCTGCACCCGTACTAAACAAATTACAGTAAAACTGCGGAGAAAAATAATAGTTATGCATCGGTGTAATAGGAAAATGCATTATATAATGCATCAGTGTAAATAAATTTCAAGGATATCTACCAAATTGCTTTGCAAAAAGCTAATCAGTTTTCGTATCGTTGAAGTGATGTGTTTGTCAGTATTTATATAAACTAATAACAATTAATCACAGTTAATCATTTAATAATTATTTATACTAACGTTCCATATATATTTGCGTATATTGCACAAAACATTTAACGACAAGGACTTTAAATGATACATTTCTTTGGTTTGGTTTGTCTAAGCTTAGAATGAACACGTATATGAGAT